GTGGAAGATTTCCTTAAAGTCTCTAGAGCCAAACTTCTGAGATAAAATAAGGATATAGCAAACTGAGAATAATGGAGCTTAGCATCAGACATCACCTTTTTACATTGATTTCTTGCAATAATAAATAGCCCTTTATTCTTAAGAGAGGTATTTTTTTGAAAAAAATGAAATAAATTATTATGATTAGATATAACAGCTACACAAGAAGGTGAAAACCATAGAGTAGAATGAGGCTTGACTTGAGTTGAATTGAGGAACCGACAAGAAGGTATAAAAGCTTCTAATCCTGCCTGAATCAAGGTTACGTAGGAGGTGCATTTATCAGCTGAGAGAGAAAAGACATCAGCGTAAGGATTATTATGAAGAAAAATACAAAAAAGAATCCCAGTCAGCATTAGGGTAGTAGTAATTAGTGGGATAATAGGCTGAGTCCAAAGAAGAAGTACAAAATAAAAGATTTATAGAGATCATTGCATGGTCAGCACCACCTAAGGGAGAAAAAGGAGAAACTGAACACAAGTTGGGTAAGAGACATAAAATCCAGGGCTGTGGAGTCGGAGTTGCGGAATTGTGACAATTTTAGCGGAGTCGGAGTTGCTAAAAAATATCGCGACTCCAATAGTAAAATTTCTTGGTATTGCACGTGCATGTACAAAACATTCAATTAACCTTATGTTCATACTAAACCTCAAAGAATGTTTCATAAATTTGTCAAAAAAAAAATTTTCAACTTATCGCGCAATATTTTTTTTAAGAATTCAAAGAATTTTTCAAAAATTTTGCTTTGGAGTTGGAGTCAGTTGTACTCAAAAAATTTCAACAACTGGAGTCGGAGTTGGAAAGCAAGTCATAACATTAATTTAAACAGAAATTACCTCTAAAAGAGTGCAGTCTTGAGACGGAGAATGTTAAAAATCAAAGTGATAGGTGATAGAGGTGCTAAGCGGAAGCACATAAAAGAATGGTGAAGAGATTCAAACCTAATATCTTAACAAATAGGTGAATCAAGTATGTGATAATTAGAGTCTTTGAAAATTAAAGGATAGTACCCATTAATACTGAGATCTGAAGAAGGAACAGCCAAATTTATATAGTTTCACAAAGAGAAAAGTCTGGTTAATTTATATATAACTATAAACTTCAAAACTATATGTAAACTTAAAACTTATATTCAAACTATATATAAAACTAAATATAAAAACTATATATAAAACTATATATAAAAACTATATATAAAAAACTATATATAAACTTAAACTTGTATTTAAAGTATAAATAAACTTTAAAAAATTCTAGAAATATATTTCTTACCCTGAAACTTTAAACTTTTTTGAGGGACAATAACAGAAGGCATAATGCACAGATAAACATAAGTTTTTTTTAAAGTTAATTCTTTCTATTACTTATAAAACAAAACTTTATTAATCATAAACATTAAAAAAATTATTGTTTATAAACATTGAATATTAAGAAGAATAGTAAGAGGAAAAAAAATATGAGAAAAGTAAGATAAAAATAAAGTAAAACAAAATTTAGTAAAATATACAAGATGATAACATGACAAATGTAAAAGATTATTGGATGATATTTGTATAAAGTAATACACAAAACCAATAAAATTTATCAAAACATTAAAATATAACCAAATTTAAAATTAAATAAACTTTACTAAGAATGTAATGCAACAATAGCATTATAATATAAAATTACAAAAATAAACCAGAAGTTTTTAAATAACTTTAAATTTAAAAACTGTTATTTGATACTTGTAAATAAAGGCCACTAAAACATGTAAATAAAGATACAAAATGCATTTCTGCATAGAACTATGTATTATTGAGGTAAATAACAAAAATGAATGTATGTAAAAATCATCAATGATTTAGATGCATGTTATTGTTACTTAGATTCATGATTTTGTAACTAAGATCCATGATTTTGTTGCTATTTAAAGATTTATAATTTAATATATTTAGATTTAATTGATTATAATAACTTAAATCTTTATGATTATTTTTAGGTATTGAAAACAGTATCTAAAATAAATGTTTTTTTATTTTATTTTTTGTTGAAAAACAAATTTCTATAAATCAAAAATTTTTTTAAATTTTTTTTTCAAAATAAAGTTGCTTTAGGATTTTTCTAATCTTTTTTTTTTCTTTCTAATTATTTTTCTGATCAGTAAGAAAAGTGGGGATGAGACTGATGAAGGAAGGTTAAGAAAGTTCTCATATTGAGAGTGGGAATATTGGATTTTTGGTAATGGTTTTAAGTACAACTAAATGCTGCATTTTTAAACATTAGAAGGTGTCCACCACTACTACATTTAAAAAATTTCTGGTGTTTAAACATAATTAAGTTGATCATTTGTTTTAGAGTTACGAAGTTAAAAACAATAAAATTTCAAGTAGTAATTTATATGAAGACCCTATTACTCATTTCAATAAATAAAGCTAATATAAAAGAGATAAAAGGTACCATAAAGGAGACTTTTATTTAAGTCTATAAAATTAAAAATTTAAAGGTAAATGAACAATTTATATACTTATAACATAGTGATCATCAATAAACTAAGACTGTGAACTTATTAATGATTTGATTTAATTTGTGTATTTATATATGTATAAAAAAAATGAAATAATTTCAATCATTTTTAAATATATATAATACTTGATAAAATTAATTATTAATAAATAGTTTAAATAAAACTATTCAATATTATCTAACAACTGAAACTGAGAATAAAAAATGTTTTTAATATTTAAAAAATATTATGGGAAATAAAATAATGAATTAATAATTTTTTTGCATTTTAAAATACATTATATATAAATGAACCATTGAATAACTTATTTGAAAAAGATTTGAAGAAAAAGAAAATGGAAAACAAGAACCCATAAAAATATTCAAAAGCAGGTGATTAACAAGACTCCTTAGCAACAAATTAATATATAAAAATTTTTAAGTATAAACAAATCTGTATATAAGTATAACTTAAAAAATATGTAACACATTTAAATTTATAAAATAAAATATAAAGTGCATACAACTATAACTGTGTCTGATAAGAACATATAAAACTAAAAGACTATTTTTTAAATATTTTTATAGCAAACGCTCTATTAAACCAAAACTTCATTTCCATTTAAATCACAGCATGCATTTCCTTGACAACTTATTTGAAACACTTATATTTTAAATCAAAAATAAAGTTATATTTTAATATAAAACATAAAAATCTAAATATGACACAAAAAAGTCAAAAAAATTTTAAGATTATAATGCATTTAAACTTTCTCCTTAAATCTTTTTTACAATTTATTAAAATCAACTTAATAAACTAAAATACTGTACAAAAAAACTATGTATATTACTTTGCCTAATTTAGTGGATTTAAGGATATATATAATTTAGAATTCAAATATATATATATATATATATATATATATATATATATATATATATATATATATATATATATATATATATTATATATATATATATATATATATATATATATACACACACACATATATTTTTAAAATATATATATACAAAAGGAGAAAGAGAAATGTATATATGTATGTATTTATGTATGTATGCATGTAAGTTAGTAGAAAATTACTCATCAAATTTTCATTTTATACTGTGTTTCATCTAAAAAGACTCATCAGAAATGAATGATCAAATTATTAAAACTTCAATTTATTCCAAAAGTTAAATTACAGGAAGTCATAAATGTCTTAACTACTGTAATACTTGACACATTTGTGGAATATGTTGACACTATTATAAAAAGAGTTCTTTAGAATTGTTTACGTTTAGTTTCTTATAAAAGATATATTTTTTAACTATATTTTGAGCTCACTTATTTTTATAGTTTTTTAAGAGAAACTTTATTTTCATGCCTCCATTGAGATATCAATTTTAATTTTTTGTCTAATAAAAATTCTTGTTTCGCATGTAGAATTATTTCAAATTTTTCCTGTAGACATAATATGCATTTTTCAGAAATATTATTGAATGCAGGTGCTGTTTTATGGGGAGACCGATTCAATATAAAAACATTAATTTTTTTATTTTTCAATTCATATCCAATATGTATTTTGATAACATGGTGTCTTTTGAATACTTTTTATTTTTAAAGGATTAGTTATAATTGGCAAAACGTTTTTTCCATTTACGTTAAACCAATATATAACATTCTGTTAAACCAATATGTTTATTAGGTACAGGTTTTTGTCCAAAGTTTTTAGAGGAAACACATTTATATACCAATAAAACCACTAAATCTGGGTTTTAAAATAATAAAAAAAAATCATATATAATATTTTAAACTAATGTTATTTAATGATTAAAAATTACAGTTTTGATATTTGTTATCAAATAAACTTTAAGGTTTTGATTATGCTTAGTGCAACTTGAAATAATTAAATACTTTATTTTTACATTTATATAGTTTGTGTATTTTATTTCAGTAGTAGAAGTTGTTTTAACTATGTATTTAATTATAACTATTTATATGACCTCAATATGTAGTAACTTAAGTTATTGTAATAATTTTAGCTGTTTAAAATTTATCTTTAAATAAAGTCCATTTTTCCGAAGAATATTTTTTGAATTAAGTTTTATTATTAATTATTGTATTTACTAAATTTTATATAAATAAAATAATCATAAAATATAACATTTTTGCAAATTAATAAAATTATATACAAAATTGCACTGTTTATACCGTTATTCTTAGTACTTTTGCATATAACTTTATTGTTTTTGTAATTAATTATGAGAGCAATGATTTATAGCATTTTTGCATATAATTCTATTACTGTTTGCAAAATGTGATATTTTAGGATAAGTATTTAGCATTTAATTATAGTAGAATTAATTCATAAGATTCGATTGCCAACTTATTTTTAAGCAACTCATTCACCAGCATTAAATACATCTGATTGTTTATTTTATAATTAGTAAAATATAATAAGAACAGTAAATATTACCTCTTCCAACCATTCTACCAAAAGATTGTTTAAGATTTAATTTTTCCATATTAGCTTTAAACAATATTTACACGCTTTTTACTGTAGGCCATAAATTTAATTGCTTTAACACTATTTTATTTAACTTTAACTATTTATTGCATTACTAGAAATTCGCTAAATACAGTAACGGTAACATTATAAACACTGAGTTCCGACAAATCTAACAAAAACAGATAAACAAATTAAGTTTGGGTTAGTCTGGGCTTCAAAAAGCCTGGACCGAGCGACGAATAAAATAGCGACAAAAGACACTTGATAAAGAAAAAAATAATTATTTCAATCTTTAACAAATTAATAATAAGGAAAAATATCAAAACAAAAAACGAGTATTTTTTCTTGGAGTGATTTTTAAATTAACAAAATCAAAATCAAAAAGTCGTTATCGTTTTAAGATATTTACGAATCCAAGTTTGCAAACTTATAAAATTAAATTTTTTAATTTAATTTTTAATTTTATTTGAATTTTCATTCTATATTTTTCTATACAATATTCTTATATCCAAAGATATTGTTAGCTTAGCATAGGAACAGCCGCAAATAGTCATTAAGACTAATCCAAAGTAGCGTCCGTTATTGACCAACATTTTTGCATACCGAAGTACTGCTCAAGCGCTGAGTTGGCGGTGGCAGGATTTGAACTCGTATCTTACAACTGTCTGTGTTTAAACTAAAGGTTAGACTAAAAATAGACATCATTTTGCTGTTACAAACCCCTCGTTTAAAATAATTTTACAAACTTTTATATATAAGGGGTAAACATTGCAATTGCAGATAGTTAAGAAAAAAAATGAAATAAAACAAAATCTTAAAAATTTAAAAAGTACTGAAATGAAATTGCTATAAAACATTATTTAGTATAGTATTTAGTATCCGAGATAAAATAGTTGCGAAGTAAATCTATTAAACTTTATATACATAAAATTGTGATTTTAATTTTAATGTTTTAAAATAATAATTTTTTTATTTGAAAACTTTTTAGAGTATTTATTTTGGAAAAAAAAGTTGTTATCTGAAAACTTTGTTGAGAATTCAACGTGTATTTTTCTGAATTAGGATTGAATTATTTTATGAGACCATACGAGTTTTGTAAACGAATATAAAAACTTAATGTCAGTTTATTTATATTTATGCTACAAAAACCTACTGAAGTTGTTCGCACGGAGCAATTTTATAAGCCCGAAGCTATTATATTATTTTTTTATTTAAAAATAAAAAATTTTGCACGCTTGTATAGCTTTTAAAGTTTTGGTATATAACTATGAATAAAAGCGAAGTTTAAACTTTCTGAGAGATGTTGAGAAATGATTACGCGTTATATTTTATTTTGAGAGATGTTGAGAAATGATGACGCGTTTTATGGCAATATCTTTTGAGATTTTTATTTCAATACCCTTTATTTATGAACTAGAAAAGTAAGTTTTGATTAAACTTTACTCTTAAAAAGTATGGATGTTTTCCTTTCAATTAATGTAATCTTACCTTGGTAATCCAGTAATTTCAGAGGATATTTTTAAATTTATTTGCTTTATGAAATAATGTAAATTTGAATTTATCCGCAGAGAAAGCTTGAGGCTAATACTCGTAATCTTTTCATAATTGTTTGTAAACTAATTATTGAAATGTTTTAATAGCTCTAAGACAATATAAAAGAAAAGAACCATCTTTAAACAAAAGATTTGATGCAAATTTCATTTTGTGCAACCTAAAAAAACTTTTTAATGGATTACTTATGTATTCCTCAATTACGGTGTACAGATGGGTTTTTATTTGTTTTTCGTAAATGATCAAAAGGTTTGTATCATTGAGAATTAAAGCAAAGGTTATATTTTAATTCTTATTGTATACGTTTTTTATTATTATATTATAATTTGAAATACTTTTGACAAATCAAATTAAATTTTATTTGCATGTTTATTTGAATTTTTAAATGCATGTTTATTTAAATTTCTTTTTAACTAAGGTGCTTACAATTTCTGTACAATTTCGGTTAAATTGGCTAAAGCAAATTTTAATCCCCTTATGTCTTTTAAATGACCGAGTAAAAATATAAATAAATATTATACATATATGTCCACCATCCTCCTAATATTAGACTAATAGTGTTAGACTAATATTAGAATCAAAATAGGATTGAGGTTTAGCGACGTGGGGAGGGGGGCAAGGGAATGAGTAGGGGGCGAAAGTGGTTTCTAAGTTTACTTTAGTTAAGAATAATCGTTAAAAATAAGAAACATTTAATATTGTTGTCATAAGCACATGTAAAAGGAAGAGTCAAGTCAAATTTGGAAAGTATAGACAAATTAGGTAAACAAGATGTGATCTATTTTTCTATAAAGAATGAATGTGCGAACTATGTTAAAAGTGCATTGACTGTGTTCAATATGATTATTAGAGGTATTTTTTTGAAACAAATCGTATCCGTTTTGTTTTCTGTCATAAATGAAGGCAAATTTGAAAAGTAGATTTGTAAAAAATGGTTTTTTATTACCTAGATTTCAATTTTTGTTTAAAATAAAAACAGAATTTTGTAATGAGAAACTTATATTTTAGAGGGCGTTAGTTGAACGGCTTATGGAGCGCGGAGGGGGAACGCAGCTCGCCTCTCACACCCTATGCTGAATCCGCCACTGATTAAAATATATAATATAGATTAACATCTATAGAAATTTGTAGGACATAACGGGTTTAAAATTTGCTTCGGCCCACTTTAACCAAAAATTTTGAAAAATGTTTACAGAGCAAACTATGCTTTGCATAGGTTGCAAAAATTATATTATCAACTCGCCAATGTAAATTATACTTTTTTGGATAAGAAAAAATTAGATAATCATTACTGATTGATGAAGTTGATTGATTATTTGCTCTTAAAAGTAGCAATGTGTCGTTTAAAAATAAAACCTTGTGCCCAAACTTTACTTTACATCATCTGGACCAGTTGGCATTTGATTGTTTTATTTTTGTTTTTTTTAGAGTTATTAGCACCTCGGAAGAGCATTTAACGGAATTTATTATTTTCTTGGAAGTTAACGCCTATTTTCTTACCAATGACAGTTATTTGGCTAGAGCCGGCCAGGGCCGCCAAGAGGGAGGGGCAAAGGAGGCATACGTGCACCGGGTGCCAAGATAATGGGGGTGCCAGAATTCGAAAGACAAAAAAAATATTTAGAATTGGCATCTATTAAAGTTTTGTTTTTTTTTACTTTTTCTGTTGTCTTTGAGTCATTATATAGAACCTTATAGGGTTAGGATATTAGTTTTTTTTGAAAAAATTTCCAGTTTATGAACCAACTATTGCTATTATTTAAGATAAACTTTGGAAGTTATTTTTGGAAAAAATTTCATAAATACTTTTTCATAAATAAAACTTCATAAATAAATTTTATTTCATGAACTTATTTTTCATAAACTATATAACTATATTTCATAAATACTTTTTTCATACTTTACTTCATAAATTCTAAAAATAGTAAAAAAAGAGCATTTCATAAATGATTATGTTAAAAATCTTCACAAAAGATTTTTTTGTTGTTGTTGAAATTTTAACACTCCGAGAGAGTTGAGAGTTGAGAGTTGAGAGTTGTTAAACTTCAGCAAATAAACTCTTAAAAAAAAAAGTTTTTTTCAAAATTTTGACGTAAACTATGCATCAAATCCACACCAAGCCAGTCTAGCATAGTCAAGTCTAGCCATAGTACAAATTACTTTTTAGGCTAATGCCATGGAATAAAACATAATGATAAATTTCATTGCGTTGCATATAACCAAAATGCGTTGATGTATATATCAACTTCTGGTCGAAAACATTTGTGCATACATAATACGGCGTTTTTATCATGCTCACAACTTCCTGATCTAAACAGATGTTGTGAATTGAGAGAATTGTGAATTACCTTTCAAAGCTTGTTTTTAGACAGGTGTTACATCTACTCCTTAAACTATTAAAAACAGTTCAGTGCAAAAATGAATGCAAATATTAGCATGTTATTGTCAATATTGTGCCACACAATCAACATCTGGACAAGTAGTTGCATAACATAACATTAAAAAAGACAAATCAAATTTCCCGTCTCGAAAACGGAAAAAAAGTGGTTGCTTATAAATACAAGCCGGTGTCTTTTACCTCTATACCGTGCTAAAGTGACGGAGAGCATTAATAAAGGTAGGATTTATTAAAGATAAGCATTATTAAAGATAAGCATTATTAAAGATAGTATTATGAAATTCTGTACACAATCTAATGTCTCAACAAATCGGATTGAATTCCGCAATATTCTAACTTAGCATATAGTATAAGAAAAATGAAATGTTTAAAACCCCAACGAATCCAAGGTTGTCCAAACCTTTTTTTACGAAGGTTGTCAATCTTTTTTTACGAAACGTATTGTAAACCGTTGGAATAAACTAGCGCAATATCTAGTTGATGCTAGATGGAAGATTTTAACCTTTTAGAAACCAGACGGTCAGCCCAGATTCCCCCTATAAAACTAATTGCAAAATAATCATGGTAAATCACAGTTTTGAGCTTATTTTTCTATCTTTATACATTCTAAATCTATATGCATACTAATTTTTAATACAATACCAGTATCTGTCACAGAAGGTAAACAACTTTTAAGTAAATTAAAATTGATTAAGTAAAAGATTTCAATGCCACTACATAACAACACTCAAGTTGAAAATAAATCGGAGACTTCTCTATCGTCAGTTTACACAATAATAATAGTTTTTGCTTAATAAAAAACAAGAAAATTATATTTTTAATATTAATTTTAAAGAAACTGTCTATTAAACCCAATCAGTGTATAAAAATATGTTGCATAAATGTTACTTAATCTAGATGCGGTTTATGAAAATATAGATGTAAAATATATAGAAATAATAACACAATCATTAACTTGTACAATTGAACATCCTTTTAATTTCTTTAAATTCTTTTGAGAAATAAGCAAGCCCCGGGCGTCATAAAAGCTCTCGGCGGCCCTGGAGCCGGCATTGAACTTCAAACCTTTTGATTCTCAGCCAGAACTCAAACTAATGCGCCACAGATGCTTAATGCAACAGTTGCCCACGTGAGAGATGAGCGTCAAGGCGATATCAGGTTTCAATTGTGCCTTGATGAATGTCACCTAACTCAGCTTGCCACATTCCCAATGTACCGTAGTACTCGACACGTCA